GATTATTTAGAAAAGTATTAAGAATTTTTCACTTTTGACCCTCCAAAGTACTAACTAGATTCACTTTCTGATCGAAGGAGGTACTGAAGTCAAAAATCGAAGCACTTTTACTGCCCCAAAACGTGATGACAGACACAAAAAAAAAACCACATCACGGTAAAATCAATACATTCATCGCTCCGCTCAGAATCTAAAATCAAAATCTATCCTATAATCTTCGGTTTGGGTACACAAACGTGTATTATATGCACATCTTCTATGCTAAGACGTTGGGATGGTAAGATTATAGGCAATGTGGAATGATGGAGACATGGAATATATAACCTAAGTCATAGATTAACGACGACCTAAGGAGATTTTCGGGACCCTGAAAAATGTGACAGGTAACAATTTTATTACAGATAGAACTTTGTATCCGCAGTGGCTCTWTTACATAGGGGTTCTGGGGTAGGAACCGAAATTCAATGCAAAAACTTGAATACCCTGAAAGATAACCAGACGATGATGATATTATTAAATGTGAAGGGAGTGATAAGAGTACCATCTTAAAAGTGGCGTTGATTCTAGTAATATAGTTCCTTGACTAGTTCCAATGAAGGGCTATATAAAAGTAATATATCTGAAAAAAATTCCAATACATTAAAATATAGTAGGTACTTTTAAAAAGTGCACTGAAATTATTTTAATATCAGTTATGTATTTATTTACCTATTTTGTTAATMTTAAACATTTTAATGAAAAACAAGCAGGATTAGCATAATCCAACAATTATTCTATATTATTCCGCTGCGTTTTTTAATTTGAATATTGATTTTATTTGTAGTGATAACCACTTATTGTCGTACTATAAAATATTTTATCTGGAAATAGCGAACTCTAAGCTTTTATAATTGATGATTTTATTTTTAGACATAATAAAAAATACGAAGCATTGCCATGCTTTAATAAAATTGTTTCAATAAACCACGGGTGACCACTAGCCATAGATAATAAAGTCACAAGCACCGTACAGCATAGGTACTGAAAAATATGTCAGGGCCTTGGTAGGAAAAAAAGTTCTCATCTATCATAAATAAGATAAGATATCAAATGTAATAAAATATGAAGAATTCAAAACAATATAATAACGTACAATGTCAGTTTTAATTTAGGATAGGATAATTTTATCTTTGTATAATAATACATATTATTATATATTTGTGGCTCAGGTAGTCAGACTGATGACCATCAGACTAATCTAGTATATAATCCTCATTAGTGTACCTATAATATGTTGTGCAAGATTATGTTATGTTTGTAATAATATTTGTACAAATATAAATAAGTTAAAAATTAAGTTTTTGATATATTATTATTGTTTATAGTTTTAACTAACAATAAAAAAATTGTAATAATGTTTACTTTATYGTCAGATTTTTCAGTTATACCTAACACAACTCTATATATTTATATTTATTAGAAAATTGTTTTGTATCTTACGATAAAACACGATTTGTGGTTAGGCCACCTCCGATATAGACTATCTAAAATTACAATATTAAAATCAAATATCTGTTTTATTGTGGTTATTTCGGAGTTATCGCCGCACTATCGCTGTATATAATAGTGACTAGGTACTTTAGAAGTAATCAATGTACTTAAATTATCTTAATATATCAAATCATACAGATATAGAATTCAATTTATCAATGAATATTATTTTATAGTTTCATTTCGTCGAGATATTGTAATTTGAATCAATTAACAATTACAAATTATCATTAATCATTTAGTTAGTATAAAATATTTGCATTAAAATAACTGTAAATAAGTTWAAAATATATTCATATCCTTTGTGAAATAGGTATAAATATTTATAGTAAATAGTAATGGTATAGGTATAATAAAATTACTAAAATCTTAAAACTTTTCTTTGACTAGGTACTTATAAATATTGTTCACAAAAAAACATATAATATGTTCCTGGGAAAAAAATTTCAAGTTAACTACACATAAATACTAAAATGAATTAACCATATTATTACAAAACTTAAAGTTAGAGTTTTTACCTAACATTTTCTACGTTTGTACGTAGGTTTTTTTATTAAATTTTGGTTTTTACGAGTATCTACCTACTTATGTAAAAATTAATATTTAAATTGAAAAATGTTAGAAACTCGCTTGAAATTAAAATATCTTAAGTCACCAAGGTACAAACACCGATAATTTCCATACCTTTCAATTTATCATAGGACAATACAGTGTAATCTTAAAAATGGTTTCACACATATCGAATTTAAATGAGAAATCAGACGTGTTTAATTTTAGGCAAATTTTCGTAGCGAATTCATCAATTTTATGAATATTGTGAACGTTGCGATCAGTATATCAATTCAGTAGTTGTGAAATTATTGTTTCATTTATATGAAACTACGTAGCTAATAACAAAAAATTACTTTTGCTAAACACTTATTTACTATGCTGTATTTTTTAAGTAAGTTTTAAAACAATAGACACGAAAGTTGCATCCTCTTAGCATATTTTTATAATATACGAGTAATATTTTAGTCTTAATTTTTTGATTTCTTATTGTAAAAGTGTCCAAAACTGTACAAAAAAATAATTAAAAAATATTCTTCTATAATCTCATTATGTTTGAAATAGCCATATTTTATATATAAATTAAACTTAAACTGAAGGTCACAAAAATTCAAAATATTTCATGTTATCTATAGATGTATGTTTAAAAGCATATTAACCTAATCATTCTAATCTTTAATCTTATCAATATGTAATGTACTACACTTTAATAGCTCATTGATCTCATACACATTTTTTTTTGTATTTTTACAAGTTGATATTTGACAAAATATTGTTATGTGGCAAAAAAAAATTATGAATAGAAATAATTCAACATTTTATCTTTTTAATTTTCTATACTTAAATTATACCTTAACTACATTAATTAAACATTATGTTTTAATATTCTATTTTAAAATCAAATTAAAAGTGGATTCAAGTTCTWTCTTTTAACTTCATTATTTTCATAAATATTAATAAGATTAGATCACTATGAACATTTTTGATTTAAGTGCTCCTGTTTACCTATAATCTATCTTTCAGAATATTAATCGACTTCAAAGTCAGCCTATTTAACATAATGTACAATAATATAAACAAAATTTAAATAATTAGTTATGTGCAGAGCGAGTAACGTTCTCATGGGGACTAATTGTTTAGTATACATTAAATGGGGACTGGGAGACTGAGTTGTTAAAACAAGATTAAAACAAAATTAATATTAAATATTAACATAATAAATTAATAATAACATATATTAGTATTACAAATTACACATCACATAATATCATGTTAAATTTAAGCGTATATTCATAGGCATCTAATAAATGGTTAAAAATTGGGGGGGAGGAGAGGTGGCTAGAAAAATCAACTAACTTATAAAAATATATTTTATTATACTCAAGAGATTAAGTGAGAAAATATTTGGGATAAGGAGGRGGGCTTCAGAAGTTAGGTTAGATTAGGTTAGGGTATTRGGAATTTACGTCCACGTGTATTTTATWACTTATCATGCATACAACACGCTTAACTAAGCTAATTGATGTTGGTTTCACTTACCAATGTTAAACTGAACGTGTTTGTCCACGGAGTCCTGTCGGAAATAGTGACTGAATTTTGGTTTTTCGTACATAGGAGTATCACATTCACTACTCAAAAGTCCGTCTTCGACCCTCGAACCATCTGATTCAATGTCTACAAAGTTTGGACTAACGCCAGCAGTCATGGAAAGTAACGCGCCGCTGTTGCTAAACCACAATAAAAAATTATGATCGTATTTATAATAATATATATACTACATGTATTAAAAATATATATTATTTTAATATTTATACAACAATTTTTATAGCACATTCCTTTAATTATTAATTGTTATGGAGCACAATTTTTGTATTAAAAAAGGGAACATCCAAAGATAAACAGCTGATGATCGCCTGTTTGATATTAATTGTAATAATGTATAATTTTTAATATATTACATTGTTTTTAAAGTGATCTTAATTTACAAAAAACTGACTGTAGGGTAATGAATTCCTTGCATCCGACATTTAACATATTGGCAAAGGATARAGTTTGACTGTTGGACGTTTAAGAAGCCCGGTTGCAGTCTTGACGGTGGGAACCCTGAYGACATCATCTTGTCCTGGATGTACTTCCGTGATCCGGGAGCTTCCAGTATAATGGAGGAGTTGGTTCACAAACAAGGACCAACGTATCCACCGTTAGGTTCTTTTAACAGGTTGACCATTTCGATCGAAGTTGGAGTGTTTATAGATATTTGTTTTTCCAACGATTTTAAAAGTGWGTGTGGATTTCCGAAATGAGTTTCCAGCGCTGATAATTTACTTTCAAACATTATATAAGTTTGGCTCGATATTTGCGGTGCTGGGCATCAGTGTAAGAAAATGACTGAGGGTTAATGCGTCGAAGTCCAATGAATCAGGACTGAATGCACTCAACGGCCAWGAATTGAGTGTGGCTTCGATTCGAGTTAAAAAGGCACCGAATTCTTCGTACTAGAGTCGGTGAAGATCAATAGTTCTGTGAATTAATGTTTTTTTAGAATTCACTACAGCCTGCCAAAGACTGCCGAGTGAGGTGGGGATGGTGAATTGAAGTGCCAGGTTATGTTACGTGTTGTGAGGAAGCCACTACATATTTCCTGGAGTCAGTGGATTGCGTGAATTCATCAACTATTTCAAACAACTTGAAAGCATCTACAAAGTTAGTGCCAAAGTCACTGTGTATCTGTTGTATTGGACCTCGGCGTRAAATAAAACAACTGAAGGCCATCAGAAATGTYTCAGTGGACAAGTCTGAGGCGAGTTCAAGATGAAGCGCCTTTTTTGCATGCAGACAAAGAGACATGTATGATCCAATATTGTTGCTGAATGATAGACTGCAGCGTTTTAGCTCCCGGGTGCTTATGTTGATGGTGGACGTCGTCAATTAGCAAGTCGGTAAATCAATGCGTCCTCGAAAAAAGACTCGGGTGCTTCTACTCGTACGGGAGATCAGCGAGAACCAGACGACCTCCAACTCGAAGGTTTCCACGGAGGTCAACAAATGGATTCAAGCCACTTAGCTTACCGGTGCCTTTGCGAGTAGGATCGCGGAGCTGCAGATCGCTTCAGCGAAAGTATGTCTTTGCGCAGCGAGTAAAATGACCTCTAGCGCGTGATTTAGTTCAGTGGCTGATGTTTCGATTATGGTTGGTTTGATGGTCTGAAAATGGTCCTAGTCGGGGTTACCACAAGGAAATAGTTTTTGCTTCAAGGTCTGTGATAGCCGTAGCAGAAGATGATGGCTATGCATTTTGATCTTSGACCAAGAATGCGGGYCCGTTCTACCATATTGGATATTTTAGGAGTTCAGTAGGGTAGACTGGGTAGAGTTCACGTGACACGCAGTCTACTGGATTTTCACTGGTTGGAACTCACCTAAGTGATAGTGGTGTGAGACTCTGAATCTGGCTGGTTCTGTTTGCAATGAACGTAGCCCATCGATGTGGAGATGATTGAATCCAGGCGAAAGTGGTCGTCGAATCAATCCAGACGTSCATGGCATCGATGTATAGTAATTTGTTTAAGAAGTTCGTACACATAATGCAACTGTTGAGCTGTCAATACTGCACCACACAATTCTAACTGTGGAATAGTCACTCGTTTCAGAGGCGACACCTTGGATTTTGCAGTGATGAGATTACAAGTGACTTGGTTACCGAAGTCRCAACGTAAGTACACTGCGGTCGCATATCCCTTTTCGGAACTGTCTGAGAAGACATGGAGTTTCTACCTAGTTTCTTCTTCAGTGGTAAGTTGTCGGGGAATTTTKAATTGTTGTATGCATTRAATTTCWCTTTGATACCACTGCCACATTGTTTATACCTGTTTAGGAATATGATCGTCCTATCTGATTCCTGATGTCCATAGTAACTGCATMWKATGCTTTGCCAAAAAGATGACAGGTGAGAAAAAACCGAGAGGATCGAAAATGCTTACTAGATCCGACAGAATCGAGCGTTTAGTTGTACTTGCATTTGATCACTGAACGGTGTAAGAGAATTGATCTTGTTTCGGATTCCATTGCATCCCGAGGATTTTCAGCCCAGCCTCCAGCTCATCATCGAATAGTAAATCAGTTCACATGGAGCGCTCATTGTCCGATATAGCCTGAAGAATCGCGGGAGAGTTGCTGGCCCATTTCCGAAGTTAAAATTGGCCTTGATTGCATAAAGCAATTAATTGYGATTGTTACACTAAAGCTACGTCTGGGGTATCGGCCCTTGTGAGTATTTCATCCACAAACGTATCTTGCATGGGGATCTGAGCAGCTATAGGGAATGGAGTCTCCTCGATATTCGCTAGGTGTTGTAAGGTTCGCAATTCCCGATGAGGAGCAGAAGATGTATCATAATATGTAACTGTACAGAGACGGTATTCTGTAAATGGTTCATCGGGTTCAAATCGGTTCGGAATCAAAATTCCTTATATTGTTGGGAAAGCTCTTCATCTTGCGACAATCGGCGTTCCAAGTACCGAAATCGTGTTTGAGCCATGCTCCGAGAATCACCAAGAATTGGGTGCGGATGTTTCAGTAGCAGYGCAATACTGAACCGACCAGACGCCAAACGTTTCTTTCTGCATGCAGTTCATCCGGACTCAAATGGTATAAATGAGCTGGCTCCTACATCTCCTATAATTTTGACACGGATTGTTAAAGGTTCGTTTCAGTGGTGACCAACATTGACGTGACTGGCTTGGATGGCATTTCTTCCACTGCTCCCATCAAATCCCATCCAAATATARWGCCAAAAGCCGTTAGGTGGTGTTGATGACGAACAATTCGGACACCGGTAAAGATAGCTAGTGCTACGTCTGCACCGAGTAGCATATCAACTTGACCTTGAGWGTGGAAGGTTGGATCTACCAGATCCAGTTGATTTATGTGAGGCCATGATGTAGCTTGAGGAGTTTCTTGAGATGTGATATTTTTCATTTTCGACACAATAAGAACATCGAGAAGAATTAATGGTTCAGATTGGTTCACTGGTGACGTTGTGATTGTGGTCATGCCGGACACCACGTTCAYCGGGGTGCCCGAGGACTCGCAGATTTTTATGGTGCAACGTCTGCGGATCAAAGAAAGGCGATCTGCACACTTCTTTGTGGTGAACCTAATCTGAGACCCAGTATCCAATAGTACTCGCAGAGTATGTTTCTGTTTATCAATTGATGTGACACTGACGRGTAATGTCGAAAGAAGGATCGAGTGAGATCTTTGAGTAGCAAAGAACATTGTAGTTACTGTTGGAACATTGTCACCCGTGGGTGTATTATTCGAGAAGTGCAGAAGCATATGATACTGTTTCTTACATGCCATGCATTTATGCAAAGATGGGCATGCCACCGACGTATGACCATATCCCAAACGATTGATRCACAACTGAAGTTTCTTCACCGTTTGGAATCGTTCATTTGGACTTTGGCTTTCGAAAATTGTGCACTTTCACACTGAATGGGCTTGCTTATATAGATATAAACGATCAAAGAGTTTTGATGTCACACTTGACGAATTATTCTATTTGAGTGAAAACAACAAGAAAGAAGAAACACACTGTTTTTATTTCGATTAGAGGTACGATAAAAGTACGCACGACTAGGGAATGGAACCTATCAAACGGTATGACAGTCGGTGCAATACTGCAATGCCAAAATACTCTGACTATTGCCTCATGAACTACGACAGATATATCGATCAGTACAATGCCGGAATACTCTGACTGTTGCACTATTGACCGATATAAATACCGTCAGATAGGTTTGAGTTGAATGTTTTTACCTGAAATGCTCAAGTCTGCCCGAGTGGGTCTTGCTACAGATCAGGTAAAAGACTGGTACTTGATCGACGGTYAAGCGGCCTTTTATATTCTGGGTCTAGGTGACTACATTTCAGCTGGTCTCGTGTTCWGTGGCAGACTGGCGAGTACCGGTGCCGTGTTCTATGAAAGAAACCCGAAACCGCAAAAGTGTAATCGCCGAAAAGCATAAATAGTAATTGTATAATTAAGAAAGGAAAAAGTAATAATAATTATAATAACATATTTTAAGATAACCTAATGTGAGGTTGTCGGGTAGCGTTATCTTCACGACTGTGTGTGTGAACACTAACAAAATTTTAAATGAATTTTTGTTTCTAAAAATTAGAGCCCATGTTTTCAAATATTTTTTTTTTAGCTTTTTATTTTGAATCTAGCTCCAATGATTCATGTTTTAAAATAATKCTATGATTTAAAAAAATTGGAATAACTAAATACAATATTTAAAAAWATATAACTAACAACATTTTAATTATTAAAATAAGATGAACGTAATATATGTTAAATAATGAAACATTTAAGTAGATTTTTAGAGAACTTTAATTTACATAATATATTTTAAACGAATTAGTAGGCACAACATAAATTAATTAAATAGTGTAAATATAAATAACAATTTATAGAAGTAATAAATTTCATTTTCACATTTTCATAGCATATAAGTTATATTTACTTATTGATATAAAAAAAGAATTTAAGAATTATGTAAGAGTATAAGTAAAATGCCAGTGCTGGATCATTGTTCAAAGAGGATCAATGTATGTATTGCTTTAACAATGATGAATAATTATTTTTCTGTCTGTCATCACCTTTAGGGAAAGTCAAAATATTTTGATCTTCAACTTTGGGGGTGGTGTTTAGTAGAAAAATGTATGGTACTTTGGGAGGTCAAAAATGAAAAATTGTTTTTCAAAATAGCTGGGAAAAACAAAAAATTAATTTGAGCAGTTAAGCGCAAAAAACTGCAATATTTTAAAAATATTTTTGATTCTTTTTAATATATTTATAGATATTTTAAATTCAAATTTGGATTAAATAAGATATTTAGATACCATAATAATAATATTTAAGTTATTTTTTTATAATTTAAACATATTAATTATGTGTACTTGGAACTTGAAACGTATATTATCATATTTTATACGAACAATTATATRTTTTCGTTTTATTATAAATTAACCTACTGTATCGCTTATAGCAAAATAAATAATTTCTTTAATAGCAATACAGATAAATTTACATAGGTAGCCATACATATRAATACAGTAATTAATATAGTCTGACAAGACCTATCTTCGYTAAAAATTATTTTTCATCTTATGCAAAATTGTTTAACCTAAACCCCCTGGCCCCTTCCCTACTCACCTTTTGATGGGTGACAAAACCTGATCCTGTGCGGGACTAACTTTTGATACTAGTTTTAAAATATGGCCAATTGTATTCTATTTTACTAATATTTTTCTTAGAAAACATTATGTATCACTAAGATAAAAAGATCAAAAGTAATTTAATTTTTCAATAATTTATTTATTTACTTTTAAAATATATTATTATAAAAGTCTTAAATTTAAATTTAAATTAATCTTAAATTTAAGTTTGTATAGAAAATTAGGTACATTGAAAATCTAATATTAATATATTATATAGGTAAATTGTTAACTATGTATATTATTATGCTTCTGATATTTTAATTAAATAGCAGACTGGACAAAATACGGTGTAAAAATAAAATAAGATTTCATTTAATTTGCACTTAAACAAAAATAATAATATTATGTTAATTAACTGGGCTTATATTCTTCACAATTTACAGGCTACATCCAATTTCGTTACATTTATTATACAAGTAGTTGTCAACATTTACAACATTTTTTTTTAATATAAACATATTTATGAACATTGTACAGCATTACTCAATATTCATGTAAATATTATTTAAACCTAAATGTAAACATTTCATTAGAAGAAAACATAAGAAAATACAACCTTATTAAATGTATGATATCATCAACCATCATATACATCTTAATTTCCTATTTCAAGAATAATTAAAAGCATAATATTAAGGTTTGAATTCAAACTTTTAACATTCATAAAAATATATTGTGGATTTATGTTCAACTTTTTTTTTTATTACGCTATTAACAAATTATGAATGACATWGTAACACATTTTTAAGTAATTTGATCGAATAAAAATTTATTTATCGACAATAACTTTTATTTTTTAATATTTTAAAGGCATATTTACAATCCATACAATTTGCACAATAAATAAGTTTGATAACATAGTTAATAAATAATAATAATGTAATGACTTGATGTAYTGAGGGGGGAAAACCGTCCATCAACATTACCTCCTATTTATTTTTTGTGGGTTCATATATTATGGAGACTGTTTTTTTTTTTGTTGTTGTGCAAGAGCGTCTCTTTGCCATTTTCTTTTTAAYCTCCTCGGAGGGTTGTTGGGGATGGTTATAACGAACATGAGGGAAATTAGAGGGTTTTGGTTTGAGTGCAGTTTGGAGGAAACTTTTTGTATTGTCGAGTTGCTATTTTGTTAACTGTTGGGATTTGTAAATCCTTATGTAATGCGTCGTTAATCATATACGATGGGCCGTAATGGGATATTACAGATTTGCATTATATTTGATATATTTTGTTTAAACGTAGTCATTGTGCATCTATTTTATATTTTTATGTATTAAGATATAAAGAAGGTCCTATACAGTATATTAAGCATAGTAAGATCAATTTATGGTTATAAGTACCTAYTATCATACGTTTTTTGATGTAATTCAAAATAATAATAATAATAATAATTAAATAAGCAAACTACTAAAAATAAATTGATAACTATACTATGTATACCTAACATATTAATTAGATTCTTATTATAATATCTTATATTGACAGTTAATATCCCAACAATACTTATATTTATAATATACTATTGATTCATTTTTTTTTTAATTTAGTAACAATTAATCTAAGTAAAATATTAATCCTAGGTAATAGTAAATGATTTTTAATTAAAAATAAATAACCATTAACCATGTAGTAAAATACGTTTCTGCATGACATGATAAAATTAATTTATGAATCAATATTTAAAATTAATTTATGAATTAATATTTAAAATTAATTTATGAATTAATATTTAAAATTAATGAGTTCACTTAATGGCATTTAATAAATAGTAACCATTTTATTTTCGAAAATAAGCACCAACTTCAAAAGATTAAGTTATTAGTTTTAATTTTTCATTCTTATATTATTTTCATTAAATTAAGTATAAATGTTATATTTTGATAACGTTTTAATATAACGTTAAAATGTATTATAATTTAACATCTATATTATATCTTATGTTATAACAAAACAAAATTCTCGATAGTGATTTAKCGAAGATTTTAAGGTTCACACTACCTAGTAAAATATAATTTTATGATAACAGTATTTTTTAATTTAAATATTTATTTAGCTACTTATGGTAACAAAATGTTAATAAATATTTAGTAATATTATTTACCTGGACGTTTGCTGACTTATGGTTGGCGGGCTCATTGCACTATCAGAATCTGTTACATCTCTATGATCATCAGTCCTCTTAAATTCCTTCATAATTAATACAAAGTTAGGAAATCGTTATTGAAATTTAAAAACTGTTAATAACTGTAACACAACAATATTCAAAGTAGTATACCGTMTCTTGATCTCTTGATTTAATTGATGTAGTAGATTGTTTCCTTATGGATTTTGGGATAGATTTTAGTGGTATGTGAACGAGCGATCGGCTGTTATTTCGATGAACTGCAAACAATAAATGTGACGATTGGTATAAATATAGCTTATTAAATTGGTTTAAAATACAATCATCGAGGTCAAATTTTAATTAAGACTATAGTGACTATAAACTGTTATAATCCTTGTAGATGTAGATCCAAAACCAATAAACCAGGACGGTCGTTGTATTATGATTTTGCAAATTCATAGTGTTTCTTACGAGTTGACCGAATTTTAAAAATATTAGCCTTGTAATAGATAAATTTCAATAATCACATTTTTTTTTTTTTAATTATTATCTTGCTGATTATAATGTTTGGATACTACTACATATTTTATATTGTCTGTGTTATAATTGCAAATAATTATTAGGATAATTAATATTAAGAGTCTCCTAGCTTAAATATAATTTATAAATGACCTATCCTAAGTATATAATATATTCTGACACGGTACGTAACCTAACCATGAACCCAAATTTAATACTTTTTAGTCTTTAGTACTACACGAATAATAGTCAACGAAGACATACCAGTATAATCATCTTCACTAAATCGCCTATCCCCAGGCCGAGGCGACCGATCGCTAGAAAATCTGGACAAACCAAATCGGTTAGCATCGGCTCCACTGGAAACACCAGCAAATACACGTTCCATCTCTTCATCTAGATCGTTTGCGTCTCGATTCACTTCATTTGTGGATTTACTGCTTTCAGCCTGTAATAATAAACATTTATGCTTAAACATAGAATTAAAATTTATATTAAAGTTCTATATAATGAAATACATATAAATAATCAAGAAAGAGAGTGTACTAAAATGATATAATATCATGTATATATACATTGACATACATACACTTATAAGTTATAATATATATAAATATATTGTACGACAGTGTAATACTCAATATATACCATCCAGTCATAAATCATAATTTATAATCTATCGCTAAGAATAATAATAAATACTAAATAATTAACGATTGTATACAACAATATTATTTGTATTATGGACTTGCTAAAACAAAATATTATAAAAATCGATATCTGAGGTATTTTCAAAAGTGTATAAGATTATTAGAACGATATATTTTAAGGGGAGTTTACCAATCGTGCTTAAAATTACCTTTTAATATACCAATAATATTGCGCTTTGTCTTTTTTGGGACCATATACCAATTGCGCTCTGTCTTTTTTGGTTCAATAGACCAATTGCGTTCAGTTGTTTTCAGGGTTTATAATATTATTCTACATTACACTTAGTATATAAAAATACTTTTATAAAAATATGTATTATAAATAGATTTTTTCAGTCAACACAAAAAAAWTATACAATGAACGTCAATATTAATAATATTTATACAATATAAATCTATGTATACCAAATCACACACATAGATACACGTCAATAATAAATAATTAATATACGTACATAAAAATATAATTACAATTTATGTTTTTCATGTAATGTTTTTTTATGTTTTACTGTAATAATAAGAAACTGATTTCAAAAATTCTTTGCTAGTAATTTTTCCGGATGTGTATTTCTCAATAATAGATTCTATGGCCACTTTTTTCACTAAATACGCTCGGTTTGATGTATATTTATTTTATCTTCTTCAGTACTGTTTATTGCAATTTAAGTGTTCGTTTGTGTTTCTATAGTTGCTTTTAGAAAGACAAAAATATTTATAAGTGAGGAATAAAAGTTTGATGAAAACGAAGCGTGAAAACTTTTATAGGCATTGGTTGTACGTTCAGAGCTTATTGTATTCGATGCCCACAGTATGGCAGGGAATGCAAAGGTTGATGATATGTAATTTTCAAGGATATAGTCAGTGACTTTAGTAACATTTGAATTCGTTGGCTGAATTGTCATTAATTCATTCATAAAAAGATCCTCTACTTCATAGTGTGGAAAAAGTGACAAATCAAAAATTAGATGTAGCCATTTTCCTATTTCAGAATCTGTGTTTTTATACTCAGTTTGTAGTCCACATCTTTGGAYATTCCTCCACCAAGCTTGTGTTAGATGAAACCTACAACCTACCAGTTATTGAAGGCTACATTTTTTTAACTGCAAAATGAATCACTTGTTCCAAATCAGCAACGACTGTTTTTGGACTAAAATAAAGGTTAAAAGTTGCACATTTCCTAGTTAAAACTTGAAATAAATATTCGTAGGTACTAGATAACTTATTTGGCAGCAAAATAAAGACTAATGATAAATAGTGACCGTTTTTTTAAGCCATGCATCGTGAATAGCTGATAAAAATATTTGGAACAAAATTCAAAAGTTCCTCAACAAATATTTTTTCACAAGTACATAAATATTCTAAATTTGTTTTTTTTTTGAAAAACATATTATATTTAAAAYACTGTCGTTTATTAACAATATATTCTCACCCTTGTATGTACTTATTATACTTGTATCCAAGTTAGTTAAAGCTGCATGTACTTCTGGTAAGTTTTTTGGTAGTGGTGGTAACGTTTTTCTGCGTGAACGATAAACACTTCGTCTTATGGAATTCACATCGTTCAACGTTAAACAAACTGCACTTGATTGCACTTCGTTTCAAATTAATTTCAGTGGTCGTGTTGTTATTTGATCTATTGCTTTTCTTTTTAAAGAATTAGCAACAATTTGCCTGTTAATATTTGCATTTTTTTTGTGATTATGATTTAAGTTGGAAGTTAAAAGCGAAGTTACACTTTCATCAGAACATACACTTGAGGTACATGATTTGACGGTACACCTCCACTTAATTCCATCTTTCAATTTGCCAATTTTTCGAAATTTAAATTCATTGATAATCAATAACGGTTTGCCTTTTTCACTCAGAACTTGTTGTAAGAGGTCCATATTGTAACTTYAAACACTCAAAATATACTAAACTGCTGACAATAGGTACCTATCTACTATCTATGTTTTAATTATAGTACACTTTTTGATCGTTAAATTTCTGTAAATATACAGAGTGAATCATAAACAAATTACAATATCGTACATTCGTACATATAAATGTCATACCATTGTGATTTGTGTTATCCCATATATATAGACTATATAATATAGTATATGTCTGTATAGTACCTATTAGACAATAGACAGTGTGTGGAACGTACAAATTAGGCATATAAATAGGTAGATAACGATCATTAATGATAATGAAAACTTGTTATACGAGTAGGTAATTTATCTCTCAGATTCATACTTTATAATATGTGTTCGCGCGACACGTAATGCGTTTCTTAAAATGTCGCAATATGTAATATGGAAATCAATTAAATATATATGTATTATTCTCTAATGGGCTGTTTGCCAAAATACGTTGCATAATAGCATGAGATTCGGAATACAGTCGGTCGGCACTCTGRCTGTCGATCGTCACGAATAAACGCTGCAACGGCGGGCACGTTTGACGTCGGGAGGCGTACATGAGGTACCAACTTCCCGCCGACTGTACCGGCCGGATCTATGTATTATGTAGAGCATGGGTCASACTGGTCCACAGAGCACCAGTTGCAATAARGTACACGATAGTACAAACTTGCTCAATAAAACTATTGATGACCCGTGTATATTCTGCGATAAGGAATGCGTATCACATCATAATGGTCATTACACTAGTAATAACTACTAAGGCTCAAATGAGCCAGGGCGGCATTGTATGCGGACAAATGCCGGCACCACACGACGTCGGTGCCGTGTTCTGTTCCTGACTAGGCTGGCGCCAGACTGGCGGGCGCCCTCCGTTCCGTCAGAGAACACGAGACCGGCCACCCGGCCACCCGGCCATACCCAACGTCA